TATTGTTATATGATATTATATATATATATATATATATATATATATATATATTTTGTATAGAAAATGAAAGAACACATAATGGCTTTAGCCTCGGTCCATAATTACAAGGACAATACTCCCCTAAAACCTTAGCCTAAATACTCGAATTTGCCTATTTTTAAGTCTTAATTTCATAGTATATTATATGTATAAACAAGTCTTATTTTTTATATTTTTAAAAGTATCCATTTACTCACAAATTTATTATTTTATTTTTAACCAAATTTCAGAAACAAAAACACTAAGGTAATATTGGATAACCATTTCATTTTTAATTTTTTGTTTTGAAAAATTAGGCTGGTTTTTGTATAATTTCATTAGTAAGTTTCTCACCTCTTGAAAACATATTTAAATTCTTAGACAAATTATTAGAAAAGAGAGAATTTCTTTTTTTATTTTGAAATTTGACTCAAATTTTAAAAATGTTTATAAAAACTATATAACAACGCAAAGGAACGCATACATAAAAATAGTGGTTTTAAGCTTAATTTTTAAAAATAGAAAATGAAATCATTTTTTTAAAGTCATTCTAAAAATGAACAAGATACAAAGTCTAAAAATTTTATTTAGAAAAAGTAAAAATAGAGGCCGATGTACCCATAAAATGACCACTATTTCAATCATAGGTAGCTAGCACGAAAAATAAAGTACAATAATAAATTTAAAAGAAAAAATAAAGAAAGAAAACCAACTCATGAGGATAAGAACATTTCTAGAAAATAGAAACCCTGTGTATTAGTTCTTGGAGAAAATAGTGATTTCCAACCCCGAAATATAAAATATTTAAATACCATCCAATGAAAAATAGGCAAGTAGAAATAGGAAAGAAAGCAGTGGAAATTGAAAATTAATTAAGAAAAAAAAAAACAGAATTTGAGAGAATTGGGTGGTAGCTAAAAAAATGAGATTCCAAAATGGAAGCTCACTTTTTAGGCTTTTTAGGAGTGGGCATCTTTTGCTTTGCATTTCATGGACAACTCCAACTCCAACCCAACCCCAGATTCTTTTGTAGGTCCCACTTTTGCCTACGTGGACACCCCTTTTTATTTTATTTCTTTCTACATCACCACAATTAAAATATTATAGTAAAAATAACATTTAGTGGGTAATCATCGTTTCTAATTTAATGCAAAGTGCTAAAATGAGTATACACTAGAAAAATATTTGGCATTTGGATAGGTGTGGATATCTTCCACTCCGTCCCACTCAGTTATTTCTTCCTTTTACGTGAAGAGCTGCAAATCTTCGTGACTTTGAATTTAGTTTTTGGACTTCAACTCTATTTGAGTCATAGTTCCAATTCTTCTTGGTGGTTTCAGATTTAGTATCGTTCAATCTCGATCTTAGTCTATGACGGATCTAATTTGACTAAACTACTTCGATCAAACGGCTTATGCACCGGTGTTATTTGAATTTGTCATTTTTTGGTCTTTCGATTTCAATTTAGGGACACATTAATTTGTAATTTATTCCAAATATATAGTTTCATCCCATTTCAAAATAATGAGTGGCAATTTATGACTAACTAAAATGTATGCTTCTACTCCTCTAGTGGGATATCTCACTCTTTTTCCCCTAGAGATACAATTATTATTACTTTCTATAAATACTATATGTACACCCAATTGAAATATCTATTTCTTTTAACTTTTGGTATAATTGAAATGTGATTGCATTGTTCCTCTCATTTTAGTTAGTTTGCATTTTATCTCATTCAAATACGATACCATATTCTTTTTTTTTTCTTTTTTCAATTAACRTTTATTAGTGAAAAGAAAAGAAGTTTATTTGAGAGTTAAAGAAGAATTATCATATCAACAAGCATCTTATTCTTGTTTTATCTTTGTATTAAAATAGATAAAACCAATCAATTAAGAATTATAGTGCATTAATTTTAGTTCAGTGCTGGTGGGGCCTTTTGTCGTTCCTGCCTTTGCTTCCTCTGTGAAGACATGAGTAATTTTGTTATTTTTCGCACAGGTGATTTTATAATAAATAATATAGTATAATTAAAGAATTATAAACATGATAAATTCTACTGAATGAAAAAAATAATTAATGAATAAATTAGGACTAAAAATCACCGTATGTTTTCACAAACCATCGCGAAGAACATTGGAATTTTTATTCTACATCTAAAAATATCTACTCATTCTATAATCTAATTTATGTAATTTTATAAACTCGCCATTTTTTATGGGAGCCAATTGAATTATGTTGAGATGGACACTCATCTCCCTATTTTCTTCATGAAAAATATATAATTTAATTTAAATTAAATTAATAGCCAAAAATTTTATGATTTTTCTTCATTCTACCATAAATCTATAAGATGGCATACTGGTCTCTCCCCAAAAACTTTCCGCTAACCATTTTAGAGAGAAAGACAAGCTACCTCCTTTACAAAAGAGCTACTCCTTTAATGGAGGAGCAAAGTTCCTCATCTAGAATATGATCCCAATTTTCAAAATAGTTTCACAAATTCTAAATTCAATAATGGGCATGAGAAAAATACAAGATTTTAAAACAACTTTTCAACTTTTTATTAAAAAAAAAATCAAATTGTTAAATTTTTAAAACATGTCTAGCAAATCTTTGAAATTTAAACTTTTGACTTTAATAGATATTTAGACTTTAAAAAGTATCTAATAAAACCAGTAAAATATTAGACAGCTTAAAAATTTATTAGACATTTTTTTTAAATCCAAATGCCTAACGCAACTTTAAGGTTGGAGGAGAAATTTATAATTCAACAACTCTATTGATTGTTTTGTTTTACATTTTTAATTTTGCGTACCAAAAAGTTTAATTTATTTTTAATAAACTCATAATATCTTAGTTTAAGTGTCAATGATCGTTAAGTTATGTTCGTTTTGACATTTAGAATTTATCTTTTAGGATTTTATTAGGAAAGCTCAATATTAGAAAGTTTAGAGGAAAAATA